GTCGGTCTGTCCCCCCGCGGCACCGCGCTCCTTCACGCATCTTGCTATTCAGCCTGCGCCTTGCAGACAAGGTTACCCCAGAGCGGCTCTGTAATCCTTCACTGAAATAGGCTTTATTGATTGCTCTGGTCTATTGTTCCCTTTTCAAGTCCCCCAAGTTCAAGTTCATCCTGGTGTTACATCATGTCTCGTTGCTAGGGGCAACCAGACAGCCCCAGACGTGACTATCATTAGCAAGAGCCGCGCTGCGCCCTCCCACCGCCCGCCAGCCGCTCTGACGTAGCAGCCCCGCTGCAAACACATTGAAGTATTTATTCTGCCTAATTTATGACCTCCACAGCAAGAGAGACCCCCACTCCAAAAACCAACACTGTTGTATATTTAATTAATCTGTCTTTCTCTGGCACTTGGGAAAGTTAGACAAAGGTCTAATTATTGTGTGTCGCTCCCCACACTTTTCTTTTTGGGGTGACTATTTGCATGGGAAAAGAAATGGCGAGGCTGGGCGCGAGTCCCCTCCCTCCAAAACACCTTTTTTTTCTCCCCTGCCCTATTGACATTTCATGAAATACTTTAGCTGCTTAAGGGAATTAGAAAAAAAAAAATCTGATGTGAATGTAACTCCTTCTGAGTTGGTATTCAGTAACACAAATCAACTCATGACATGTTTAAATTTAAATGCTAACCACACACTCTGCGAGTTACTTTAAAGGTTAGTTTTTAATCAATAGAAGTTGCTGACTCTGGAGTTTTTAGCGGCGCAGTGCAGCTCTGGGGCCTTTGTCTAGCGTTGGGCTTTCAAACTTTTTTTTTTTCTTGAGATGATTTTAGCAATGATTTGCAGACACAGAGTGCTATTGTGCTCCTGACTAGCAACATGTCAATAAAGGAGTAGAGTTACCATGCACTAGGGTGTCAATATGACTCCTGCAGACACTGCTCGGCCTTAATACCAATGAAAAACTTAATTAACCCTTACAGGATCGACCCAAACCACACGGCTATTTTTTAAACTTCCGTGCAGGGGCTCCGGATTGCCTTTACTGAAAAGCTGCTTTTACGGGATCCGAACTCCAAGCACCTCGCAAACAGCTGCATCCCGCTTCGCCTGCTCCCGCAACCCCGCTTGGATGAGATGTTTTATGGGCTGAGGCAGCAGAACAGCGAGACAGAGAGCGCATTTACCCATCAGATCCCACCAGCACCGCTCTCAGGATACCGTTTTAATTTAGAGCGTCTTACAGCTGAAACGCACACACAGAATGATCCTCCTTTTCTACTAATCATTTTAATATTAAGATCTCATATCCCCCTCAAGCCTCCTATACACGTCTAAGTCTTCCCGGATTAGGTCTGAAGAGCACCATTGTCCTTCTGAAGCACCTGTGAAACTTCTCTGTGAGGGGAGAGGAGACCTCCGTGCATCAAATGAAAACGTCTAGGAAGCGTATTATGCATTTGGAGCCCTGATAGTTGGGATCTGTCAAGTTTTTTTGCACGATTAGGGGGCTGAGAGGGGAAAAAAGAAGCCCGGATCCCTATGTTCGGATGGCTGAAGTATTTTTTGCCCTTTTTCAGAGCGCTGCTCAATGTGGTGCAGGCTATGCTCTCACGTCTAACCACCTTAACGCATTTTATCCCTTCACGTTCTGTAATCTATCTGACTGCACCCAGATGGAGATCGGTGTATTGCCTTTCTTAATTTAAAATCTCCATTTAAATCGTGTGCTATGACAATACGGTCAGGATGATATTATCTTCGTGCATTTTCATAAAAGAGCCAGTATTTTATTTCCCCTCTATTTACTTTGCGGTACTATTCTCCTAGCGAGTTTAGAGCTAAATGAATCCACTGGAGCTAAAGGTCCTACTCAGTAAAATTACTGCCACGCAGTTGTCGGTGCCACTACGGGTCTGTATTGTCCTGCCGAGCATCTCGCTGTCCTTCCTCAGCGCTCAAGGTGAAACATCAGAAAGAATTCTGCAGTCCGGCACGAGATCTTCGCTTCCCTTTCTCCAGTCAAATGAAGAAGTAATCTCATCAGGTTGAAAAGTGCTGACTAAGGATTTAATAAAGTGCCTGCAGATGTGTGTCATCTCTAAGGTATTCAACTCATGTAATGCAAAACAGTTCCACACCGAATGTGCTTATAAAATTCCATTTAACCATTGCAGAGCTCTATTTTACTGTTCTCGGAGGAGTATTATCACACTTTTTTTTTTTTTCCTAATTTACAGCACCATGAAAGTTGAAACTCTGCACTGCCAGTATCTGAGAATCCTCACAGTAGTAAGGTTTTATGAACCATAAACAATATCTACTTGACTGAATCCTAAACAGGAAGTCTGAAATGGCAATTACGTTTCTTTGATAGCGCGAGTCTATTTGTTTCTTATGCTCTTCTGGAGATAGCAGAGACACACAAAAATCCTCAAGCGACTTCTGACAATCGGGTCCTTTGTATGGGAAGAACAGCAAGGAAACACTCCGCGATTCAGGATATTTAAAAGGAAAAAAGCTGAAAGTGCCTCGTTGACTCCGGTAGCAGTTTCTGCCTGCGTCAGGAGCCCAGAAACAGGCCCATTGTTTATTAAAATCTTCCTAAATCGGCCTTCCTGCACGACGTGTTTTACCCCCGGCTCTCAAGCCTAACCGTGAGCACCGCTCACGTGTTTTAAACCAGAGAGACAATCAAACGCAAACTTGTTAAATTTACTTCTACCTGCACATCTCCTGCCCTAACAATGAGACCTTTCAGTTCGTACAAAAAAGTGAGGGTTGTAAAGCAGCCCTATCTGTTTTTCAAATTAAAAAGTTAAACAAAAGTCCTCAAGGGCAAAGTTTAACGCTGCGGAAGGAGGTTGTTAATGTGGAATCCAGAACTGGGTGTGACAGTTGGCTTATTTCTCCGGGCGATGTAGGTTATTTAAGGACATTCACACGTTTGAAACTCTGACAAACTCGACACATAGGAGCTTTTGCTTCACCTAATCCACTTAGGGCTAAGACCTGGTCTGCGCTAGCCGTT